GGTGGGTGGGGGAGGGGGAGGGGGTAGTGTGAAGGAAGACATAGGAGTTCTGCATCTTCAATGCCGAGATGACTAACAATCTAACATTATCGTCACGTAAAAGACATACTCAATTTGTCTCATTTGATGTGACACTATTTTCCTTTGAAAACAATTAGCTTTAAGCTTTGCAGTTTACCCTTAATGACATGATTTAACAGTCATGAGTTCTAAAAGGCATTCTTTCTCGCTTAAGCTTGGCGCCCAATCAAACAGGTTTTACAAAAATGAGCCGGAAGAAGTAGCCAATAGAGTCTGTGGCACTTAAAAACTCAGTAGAGCAGCCAACTAGTATATAGTTAAACAGAAAGATCATATAAAACTAATTTACCTCTTCAGCAAATTTTATCAAAATTGTTGTCCGGGGTCGGTGCTGCCCCTCCACAGGAACAAAATGAGCTGTCACTACTGCTGGGAAACCTGCATTTTCAAGAACTCCCTTCGAGAAGAAAAAAGAAAATAAATTATAGCTCTCAGGAATGGTAAGCGAAGCAAAGCCGATAATGTTCTTACCCTTACAATACCCGCAACAAAAGCTCCGCAGTTGAAAGCACCCATATCTTTTGGAATTGAAATGAATCTAAAATTCAAATGCAAAATATCCCAAAATGGAATACAAGAGTTAGTCCAGTAAGCAGATAATCGGAAGCAATTATAATGGCTTCAGTCGAGATCACCTGTTGACAAGGAGCTCCTTCTCACTAATCATATATTCATCTTCATGTTCAGTGCCTTTCTCGAGAGAGTCAGCAACCTGGTATCAACAGCGAAAATGTTTCACCTAATCCAATCCTCAAACAAATTCATACACAGAATAACTTGATTAGTCACTTAAGGTACCAATTAGGCTAAATGAGCTTGATGCCACTCAATCCAAACCCCTGGAAGTCCTCCTAATGTGGCCATTGAAATCTCCCCCTAGGAAAAGCTTCTCAGTGAGGGGAATACCACGAACAACCTCATCCAAATCTTCCCAGAAGTGTCTTTTGACCTCCTCATCCAAGCCCGCATGAGGTGCATAAGCACTGACTACGTTAAAAGTAAGCCCACCCACAACTAGCTTAATAGCCATCAACCTATCGTTCACACTCCTAACCTCTACCACTAGATACTTGAGTTTCCCATTGACCAATATACCTACTCCGTTCTTACCTCTCTCTACTCCCGAGTACTACAGTTTAAACCCATCTACATTTCATGCCTTGGTACCCACCCACCTAGTGCTATGCTGACCTTCCTCTTTTGGAGAATCTTTACTAACTCAATAGACTTCCCCATCAAAGACCCTACATTGCAGGACCCAACTCTCAGCCTAGAGGTTCCCGTGCACCCCACCTCACCCAAGGACAAGACCTTACTCTACCATTGTTAATCCCAGCCCACAGGCCACAATAAACAAGAGTATACTAAGCTAGCACTACCACAAACAGTTAAGAAGATAGAAATAGCAAAAAAACTGAAATTTAAAGGCACTAATCTAGTCAGAATACCAACTCCATTATGCTTCATTATAAAGACATTTTTCTTTCTTGCGACTTCATTCATGTGCAATCTCTCTCACAACATACTGAAGAATCCCTAGACAAAAGCTCACCAGCATATTGAATTAACACAAAGCATTATACCCGCAGAGTCTATTGATATAATGAAGAAAAGATGAACCGCAAGATTCACATGCTATGTGTAGCACATCCTAAGAAGATGAGGAAGTGATAGAATTTAGGCTTAAGTTTCCATGCTTGCTACTAGTTAAGTGAGTTACTTGAAAAGATGGTAATATAGCTCCTAGAAGTGTAAGAACTGAATCTTGTCAAATGATCAGTTTTTCTCCTTTTGCACTGAAAAGGTTTCCAGTCATCCCCACCCCCATGACATAAAACCAAAAATAAATACAACCACTAATAAACAAGAGAGAGTTGTAGCACAGTCCCCCAAGAAACAAAATTAGTATAATTCAAAGAGATGGAAAGGTGTTTCAACAAAAAAAGGGTTAGAGAGAAAGAAGAAAAAGAGGTTGACCTTCCCAAACAAAACCTTCCATACTGTGCTATGCACAAATGATAATATACCCAGTAGTCGTGTCTCCCTTCTGTTTCCCTGCAGCATTATGAAGATTTTAGAGCAATTACGTCAACTTTGAAAATAAAGCTTGTCAAATAGTTCTACAAATGACCATCACAATTTGCTTGCTTAAATTATTGAGAGTAACTTCATAGGATTTTATGTAGTATTGCATTCTTCACATAGTAAGGATTAGCCTAAGTACAGATAGCTCCTCTCCCAGTCTATTCTTGAGTTTGCCCAAATTCTGAACTCTTTATTGGGGAATGACTGATGTCAAGGATGTGGCTAAGCTTAGAGGTAGTCGTCATATTCTCCTCTATAGTTTCCCAGTCTAAAGTGTCAAATTCAAACGATCATGGTTGAAAAACATTTCGCATTTCAGTCTTCAGGAACATTTTGAAGACACAAACATGATTAGGTTTAAAATTACAGTAAGTGAACATGCTTGAAGTATAGATTTCTATGTAATGGACATAGATTAAATGGAAAGAACCGGCCCAGAGAATTATGTAATCAATGTTTACTAGTTTGACAACGAAAGATACCTAGCATCCAGATATGGAGTTGCTCTAAGTGAAGAAATTCAAAGAAGAACATTGCGGTGGCAATTGCATTGAAGCTCCATACCTTTTCCCTATGGCAGAGAAGTTCTAAAATTCGGGCTCCAACAGCATAGCCAGCATCCTCTAACCTGTTTCCCAGAAAATCATTAACATCTACAAGAATGCATTCACGGTTCACAAATACACTGAAATTTGTGGCAACATCAAAATCTTACTGCAAAAAACTACATCAAACTTAAGATACCTTTGTCTCAAAAAAAAAAGAAGCTAAATCCAACTTAAAAGGGCAGAAAAATCTAAGCTCAAGTTCACAGAAGATACTGCTTAACCTTTGGTAGTTCAGTTAGACTGATATTCGATCCCCTTTCTTAATGCCTTCTATTAGCATTAAATGTTCAGACAAACGGTTCTTTCCACAAGTATAGGTGTCAGCAAAAATAGCAATTTCATTCCTTTCGGTAAGGGAAGAATCCGAGAAAATGGATGTAAAAGTATCAATCATTGCCTACAAGCAGTTAAAAATAGCTAATCCTTACCCCAAGGTGATCATTCCTTTCATCTGACACTAATAATATGGAGAATGGAGATGCCTTAATTGTTTTCCTAATTTCTTTTAACGACAAGGGGACCCACAGCCACTACCCTTTGGGTGCACACAGGTTAAACTCCGCTCCAATGTAATTGCCGGCAAACACTCAGGAGAGGTAAACCGCACTAGGCAAGCCTTGAGCGATGAGCTCGATTGACAAAACATGCGAAGGGTTTCTAACCTCCATTTGGGAGATCCCCTGCTCAACCAACTCGGCCACCATCCTATATTGACATGATACCATGGAAAAGACTCTTAAGCACAAAAAAGATATAGCTGGAATGAGAACAACAAAGAGCATCTCCATATTTAGAGCAACACTAATGTAAAATGATCAATCAATCAGCTAAGCCTCCCCTCCAAAATAGTTAGTGTATGAATCTTCCATAACCATTTCGCCCTACTCGAGTCCAATCCAATACTAGTAATTCTCTGAGTTCCACAAACATGCAAGTCGCTTCCCTCTAATTTCAGCAATACAAGGGCAACAACAACCACAACTACAACTCAGTGTCAAAAAAGTCAGGGTTCGACTATACCAATACCCAATTTTTCATTTAAGCTCATTTCATAAAGAATCCTTATAATTCAGCAATACAACGGCAAATAAACAAAATAACAGAGTTCTTGAAAATCACCTTCGCTCTAATTCAGTAATGTTGTCCACTTGAGTCTGATTGTACTGAACAAGCTCCGAAAACAAGAAAGCAAAAGCACTCAAACTGACCTGCAAAGGATCTCATTCACTAATCTGCAAAGTATATCTCCAAACCCACCCATACCCTCTAGCTAAAAAGATTTAAAAGTGGTAACATGGGTCGATGTTATTAGTATCTATAGTGAAAAAGAACCCCACCCCCTTCTTTTCTTGAACAGCTAAGAGAATTTAGAACACAAAATTGAGTTAACCAAAAGCACTAAAATTGATATGCAAAGGGCCCTCAGCCACTAGTCTGCAAAGTATATCCACCCCCACACCCTCTAGCTAAAAAGATATAAAATTGGTAACATGGGTCAATGTTATTAAGATCTATAGTTAAAAAGAACCCCCACCCCACCTATTTTTTTTCTTGAACAACTAAGAGGATTTAGAACACAAAATTGAGCTAAGCATAAGCGCTCAAACAGACCTGCAAAGGAACTCAATCACTAATCTGCAAAGTAACCCTCACCTCACCCCACCCACACCCTCTAGCTAAAAAGATTAAAATTGATAACATGGGTCAGTGTTATTAGGATCAATAGTGAAAAAGCACCCCTTTCCCCCTTAAACAACTAATATAACTTAGAACACAAAATTGAGTTAATCTTTAGGCTTCAATCACTAATCTGAAAAGTATATCCACCAACCCACCCCAAACCCAGAACCCCATCAACAACCTTCAGCTAAAAAAAATAAATTGGTAACATGGTCAATGTTATTAGGATCAATAGTGAAAAAGAACCCCTTTTCCCCTTGAACAACTAATATAACTTAGAACACAAAATTAAGTCCTCAATCACTAATCTGCAAAGTATATCCCCCAACGCACCAACACCCTCTAGCTAGAAATATCTAAAATCGGTAACATGGGTCACTATTATTAGGATCTATAGTGAAAAAGAACCCTTTTTCTTCTTCATTCTTGAACTACTAAGATGATTTAGAACACAAATTTGAGTTTTTTTCCTCGAAAAAAAAAGAAGAGAAAGAAGAAGTACCTCTTGTTTGCCTTTGCTGAGGGGTCTCTCAAGAACATTTGAGTACTGTTTGATCTTCCCTACACTTATCATCTTCTTCCTTAACTCTCTCTCTCTAGATCGCTTAGCACTGTAATGTCTACTCTTGTTTTGGGTACTCAGATTTCGTTTCGTTTTTCATTGAAAAGGGAGACTGAAGGATAAAAGAGAAAAATGACAAAATGACCCTTTTATGTTTGATGAGGTTTAATATAGTACCTTTAAATATAATTTTGAGCACTCTTAGTCCTTTCATTTTGTTAAAAGTGAGTATTTTAAAGAATTTACGGGAGACATTAGGAATTTAGGATAGTATCCTAAAGCTTAGAATAAATTACAATAAAAAAAATCCGACTATATTTGAGTTGATTTGGTTTTAATTAAAAAAAATTAATTCGACATTATAAATATAATTTTAAATTTTATTTTATACATAAAAGTATTTATTTTGATATAATTTCTGAATATTTCTTGTACTTTTGCATAATTTTTATTTCTCAACTTATTATTTCGAGTTTTTGAGACTTAGAATTTTGAATTGTCCAATAAGGTTGTAGTTCATAGATAGCTCAAATCAAAATCAAATTAATACTAATGCTAACAATTAATTCAATACTAAGAATGACAATAATGTTGAATATCTGTTTTTTTATTTTACATTGATTTAGACATTTAAAATACTAATTTTAATTATTTTTTTAATGTTTAATCATGTAGCTAATACTTATTATACTTATTTTAGTATGATTTAACACTTTTAAATTATGATGATTTTCACTATAACTTATTAATCATATTATTTAGTTCTCTAGAGTTTGTATGAAACAGAGTAATCGCTAACAATAATGATCACATACCCATACAAGTCTCATAATTGGAGGTCTGGAAAAGATTGAGTGTAGGAATATCTCATAGAGATAATGAAAGCTTGTTTCGGAACGATCCTCGATAAAGTGGGGCTAACCACCATTGAGGCCAAACTTTATGGACCAAACTGTATTTAACATAACATCAATTTGCCTCTTCTAAAACAGCCCATATAAAAAGCCACATATTTTATTTCATTATCCACTCACTCATTCTTTTACTAGCAACAAAAAAAATTATGATAACACATTGCTGAAAAATCCAAAGTTAGGATTATCACAACAATGGCATCAACATCTCTTGTACATCCACTCAGTAAGCTCAATTAAATCTTGAAAAAAATATTTTTTTTTACTTTTTTTTCATATTCAATTTTGTACTCATTTGGTTTACATATTGTGTTCTTGAATGTAAAGGTTCAGCCTTTTCTATAAATTTGTTCAAGAATCATCATCAAACAATCAGAAAACCTCAAATTGGAAATGGGGTTACTAGGAAATGGGGTTTAAGATTGTGGGCACAAGAGAATTTGATGGGTACTGTTGAAGAAGCTGAAAGGTACAATACAACTAAGCGCAGAGATTTGTTAATGGGGTTGGGGTTTTGTGGGGTTACAAGTTTTTTGGTGGGTTCTTGTTATGCTGAAGCAGCTGGATTGCCACCAGAGGAAAAACCAAAGCTTTGTGATGCTACATGTGAGAAAGAGCTTGAAAATGTATGGTGAGGTTATTTAGCTTGTTCTCATTTTGTTTTTGAACTCTTACTAATACTTGTTCTCATTTTGTTTTTGAACTCTTACTAATACTTGTTCTCATTTTGTTTTTGAACTCTTACTAATACTTGTTCTCATTTTGTTTTTGAACTCTTACTAATACTTGTTCTCATTTTGTTTTTGAACTCTTACTAATACTTGTTCTCATTTTGTTTTTGAACTCTTACTAATACTTGTTCTCATTTTGTTTTTGAACTCTTACTAATACTTGTTCTCATTTTGTTTTTGAACTCTTACTAATACTTGTTCTCATTTTGTTTTTGAACTCTTACTAATACTTGTTCTCATTTTGTTACTTTCTCCGTTTCGATTTATGTGGTGTAGTTTGATTGGACAAGTAGTTTAAGAAAGTTCGACTTTTGAAATGTGTGATCTTAAATATGCCATGAGATTTATGTGTCTATAAAAGTAGTTACTAAGCATTTTAGGTGAAAATGAGATGTTTAAAGTTAAATTAAGATAGGTGTTGTTCGTTTCTTTTTTAATATTGATAACCATGATATTTGAGTCAGTTTTTGTGTATCTCGACTAATTTCATGGGATATATGCCACCTCCCACCGGAAATGGTACCAAGTAACACTGTCCACCAAGTCTAAGACAGATGGAAAGAAATCACATAACTTTTTTTGTCTCTGCTGAGATTTGAACCTTAAATCTGATGGTTTCCAACCTACTTCATTGACCACTAGATCATACTCTTGGGTAGGTGTCATTTGTTGTGAAAGGGACTAATAAAGAAGTAGTGTCATATAAAATGGAGCAGAGGGAGGGGTAGTCATGGTCAATTTTCTACTCCTTCCATCATAAGTCCTATGTTGCTTGGATTCTTCAAACATACCTCCAGATGTGTGATGGATTCTCCAAAAGCTATACATTTTTAGGATCCGACATGGGTGCTGCTGTATTTTTGGAGGTTTGAGCAAACATAAATCATACTTTTATAACAACATTTGAGTGAATGAGCAATTTTAGATGTTAATCTTTTGTATAATACCTGATAGAGCAATTAGGATTATGGATTTTCAGTTTATGGGGTAGTCTGGGATGCATAGTCGTGGAGAAAACTGCCAGTTTGGTTGAACAAGATGCCCATCGAATTTTGCCTCTAATTGTATTGTGCCTTGTGGAGGCGTACATGCAGGAAGGAAGTTTGAGTTAAAGCAGTGGCTGTAAACTTACTTGAATAGAGCAGCCTTCATAATCGAAGTTTAAAATTTGAACAGTTAAATGACTTTGAACTTTTGAAAGTTATGAAATTATAAAGTAATATTATGAATGGAATGATGTTAAGTACTTTGGGATCTCCCAAAATGAAAATTGCGAGATATATAAGGGACGGATATGAACTATTAAATAAAGAATCCTGTGAGGAAATTAATTGTTGCCTTAAAAATTCGATGTGATGCATGGTTTTTATTTACTCATAAGGGGTCGTTTGGTAGAGTGTATTAGCAAAACTAATGCATGCATCAACTCCGTGTATTAGTAGTCCCTTGTTTGGTACACTTTTTCACTTTATTGTGTATTGAGGAGTGTATTACTAATACCATGGATTTCTAGGTATTAGTAATGCAAAGAGATTTAATACATGCATTAGCAACATTACTTTTATACACTCTACCAAGCGACCCCTTAGTGATATTCATCTGCCACGCTAATGCAAATTTCAAGAGAAGTTCCTCGCTTGCATTTGGTATCTAGTCTAAAAAAAGTTATTGCACTTTCACATTCACGGAGATTGTTGACAAATTATAACCACTATGAATAATTTTCAGCTTTCTTGTGTCGAGTTTATTACTGCACTTTTTGAGCTGGTCCTTACTTTTTGAGTATCCTTGTTAAGATCCTGCAAGAATTAATCCCTATTCTAGAATGGTAGGATATTATGTGCCTTTTGCAAAGACATCTAAATATAATCACACACATTTAGGTAACTTATTATCCCATTCTGTCTTAGGTCACAGATACACCCCATTTTTTTTACTTGCACATGGCAAGTGTAAGTCCACACTTCCAAATCAAGTATATGTTCCTACTGAATGTTTTCATTTCAACCTTTTCTAAAAGAGAGTCAACAGTGTTCCCACTTGCCCTCCAGTGTGACTCGAAACCTCAACCTACCGGTTGATGGTGGAGGTGCTCAATCACTTGAGCAAGCCTCACTTGTCCCTATTGAACGTTTTTCTGTATTTCCCAATTTCTTTTAATAGTATATGGTGAATACTGAATTCTTAACACTGTTTAGATTTAGTGATTTGAAATCCATATAGTTGGACATACAATGGCTATATGCATGCATAGATTTGCAAAAGTTGATATTCTGACTGCTATGGTCCGAAGCTTCTTGCAACAATGAAGTTGCGATTTAGCATGAATTAGGAGTGCCATTTTATTTAGGTAGTCTTTTTCAGACACTTAGCTGACAAATGATAACAAGACCCAAATTGGTCTAAGAACTGAACTGAAATAGCTTCATTACTATCATCTTTCTCGGAGATATTTCGAGTTAGAATACAATCATGGTTTACATATGAAGTTTAATAGAGTATCCATCAACTTAGGAATTAGGATGTTGTGTCTGATTGCTGAAGGATACATATAATCAAAGGTTACGTGATGCAAAAGATTCACAAACATATCCTTTATCATAGAAACCTGAGAACCCCGCTAATAGTAGAACTTTTTCATAAATGAAGGTTCCTATGGTAACAACTGAGTCAGGCTTGCAGTATAAGGACATCAAAGTTGGTCGAGGCCCTAGTCCCCCTGTTGGTTTCCAGGTATGTATCCTGATTTCTGATACTTCTTATGTAAAAGTGAAGGACAAATTACGGTGCAATGAACTTTCTTCTTCACCAAACTAGCTTGTTACCTTACCCATTTGGTAATTAATGGTAAAATATTATGCTGCTTTATCTTCTCAAATCACAAGGTTGTCTTTTATCGTGAATAACTTGAAGGGAATTGAGGAGAAAAGGACATGCAAAAAATTGAGAAAAGAGTAGTCTAGTCAAAGTAATGCATCATTATTTAAGGTGTAAGAAGAAATATCTGGCTCCTTCAACATATTTTGAATTATCATGTGGAAGAAAAGATGTCTGGCTCCTTCATCCGTGTAAATTCTATTTCTATTCTTTATTTTGATCAGTCAAATTTTGTTTCATGATGACAGGTCGCTGCAAATTATGTTGCCATGGTTCCCTCGGGACAAATTTTTGACAGGTCATTACGCTAATTGTACTCTGATTGGTTTGTTGAATATTTTACAAAATTGTATACAAGCTTTGTCTTTTTTGGTCATCTGGAAATTGCATTCGCTGAAGCATATGAATGTAATATGCCTTAATACAGTAAGGCGATGATGTTTGTATGTGCTCGTGCAGCATGGCATATTTATAAGGAGGCATGTAATGTACTGATCCACAGCTAAATAGCATAATGATACTCAGAAGAAAAACAAAAGGACTCAAATTTTAAATTAAATGAATATATAGCCTCCAGAAGAAAAGAGATAAGGAGGAAGGTTCTCCTTGTAAATATTTTTGTTACAGTTTCTTCTTTAGATTTGGTGCTTGTTTTGGACATGAAGGAAAAGTTGCAGAAGTTATTCTTTTCGTTTTCTCACAATGCTCATACATGTAACCTTATAAAAATAACATGGCATTTCTCGTTTAAGAAGTCTGATTCTCCTTTCCTTCAAAAAGCGCTTGCATTCCTAATTCTGCATTTAGGATAAATGAGGTTTACAATTCATTGTTTCTTCAAAGTCTTAACTCTCGCAAGATTTCTTGATTTCTGAATTAACAGCTCCCTGGAGAAAGGTCGACCTTACATTTTCCGTGTAGGTGCTGACCAGGTAAACTTTAGTACATGTTCATGAAAATTTGTAGTTAGTTCATACATGACTAACTAATTTCAACGGCTAGAGTAGGTAGTCAAAGGACTTGATGAAGGGATCTTGAGCATGAAAGTTGGAGGACTACGTCGACTCTATGTACCTGGATCTGTAAGTTCTCTGCCTTCTGAATTTCTCATTCTACAGATGCAAGGCAAATGAGAAAAAGATAATAATCAAACCATTAAGCAGGGGTAAATGCTTCTCTGTGGGATTGACAGGTTTAGATATAGCCCCTTTGAGGACGTTTGGTAGAATGTATTAAAAAAAAAAATACATATATTAGTTGTGTGTGATTTAATTCTTTATTCAGTAGGATGTTCACCCTATTTATAGGGTGTATAACTAATGGTACTAATACATGGATAAACAATGTTAAAGATAGAATTTCCCTTAATACATCAAACCAAACACTGGATATGAAATAATTACAACATTATTAATCCCCACATTACTAATACACCCTATTCAATACTACTCTTGTACACTCTACCTAACGACACCTTAGTTTCTTATTTGGGAAAAGAAAGAAAAACAATATCTCTAGTTGCTTACACAAATAAGAAGCTACCTGCAAGGCTGCAATATTTCAAAGCCTTGAGGTTTCTCAAACTTTATCCTCCTAATAGTTTGTTCTGCTTGATGAGAAGTTATTCAAAATAATGTCCCGAGGATGGCCTAATACTTTGGGCGGGGGTTTCGTGAACTTGAACCTTTTCATATAAGCAATAGCTTACGGTCAATCTGTTTAACGTGCATGCTTTACTGCATTCTTGCGCAATTGACTTGAAATCATCCAAGATAAATGCAGATCTTTTATCAGACTAAGTCTCTTACACATATTTCTGTTGAATAGTTGGCGTTTCCAAAAGGCTTGACATCGGCTCCTGGAAGGCCAAGAGTGGCTCCTAACAGCCCAGTGGTATTCGACGTGAGTTTGGAGTTCATACCAGGCCTTGAATCCGACGACGAGTGATCATTTTACATTTTTTTTTCTTGTATTTTTTTCCCTTTGGCATGTATCTATAAAGCTAAGGAAAGGCTCATGTAATTATACTATCATTATTCCTACTGCATTTCTTTATTATATTCACTTTTTCTTTGTTGTATACAGTCCAGTTTTGCTATTGTATTTAGTTCTTGTATGTGCATATATGTACATGAATATAGACATGACAAAGAAATGTTAAAGAATATCTTGAAGGGGAGCCTTGATGTAATTAGTAAAGTTGTTGTCATGTGATCAGGAGGTCACTAGGTTCGAACTGTGGAAATAGTCTCTTGCAAAAATGCAGGGTAAGGTTGTGTATGATAGACCCTTGTGGTCGAGCTCTTTTACAGACTCTGTGCATAGCGGAAGCTTAGTACAACATCTGGCTACCTAATTGGTTAAGAATTTCGAGCTAAAATACGACGAGACGAGATTATGGATGAGCTAAACTTTTTATTTCCGCAAGTTCAAAGGCAAACTTTGTACTTCGTAATTATCTCTTTGTGACCTATAGGTTACTATTCGAGTTGTGGAAAGTCATTTATACTTGTATTAGTTACATCACACTTCTCAAGGTGCGATTCAGGTCAAATCCAAAGATTACCATCCTAGAGGAGAGGACAAATATATACAAACATAATTTTCTTGGAAGTGACTTTACAACCTTTCAATCTTTTTATGGTTACAATTTGCAAATATGATGGAATAGTGGTCCTGAATATAGAGTATTTACTGCTCTGTATAACAAACTAGTACTCTGTACCAACTGACACTGGGAGATCTACAATGATTTGAATTATCCGGAGAATGCAATGCCTGATATATATATATAAAAAAAAAAAGAGTAGATAATCAAAATTATTTCTCGATTCACTCAAAGAGGTTGTATTAGGTATGGTTCGAACAACCAAATAGCTTTTGTTTGACTTTGTATATACATTAAGAATATTTATGGAATTGATGGCAAATTCAAAACTCATAAATTATAAATTTTCAATAGGGAGGGATAAACATTAAAATCATAAGCACAAAAGTTTAAAACTTTCAAAGTATGTACATCTTGTTCAACAACTTATAGCACCAAAACACCAAAATTATTAGATAGATGTTGAGAAAAATCTCTCAAATAGACAATTTAATAAATCTTTATTAGCATATACTAGACTAGAACATATCGAAAATCGAACAATAACAACACTACATGCAATGAAATTTCCTTGTCAGAATTCCTGGTTTCACCACTGAGTAACCGAAAAGGTTACATGATAGAGCAAGCATTAGGATTCTCATCACTGAAAATCTGAGGGGGGTAATTAGCATACTCCATGAAAATGTAGTCCCTTTGATGCATATATTCATTTTTCTTGATATCTATTGTTGTCTTATCATCTTCCTCTTTGCCTTTTTCTTCTTCATTTTCTTTCTTTTCTTCTTTTTTCTCTTCTTCTTTCTTCTCTTCTTCCTTTTTTACTTCTTCTTCCTTCACTACTATAGCTTGCTTCCCTGTCCTCTTGTACACGTCGTTCGCTAACTTCTCTGGATCAACGACACCTTTTACTACTACTTGATTGTTTCCTAGGTCCGTCGTTACAGATTCAACACCTACAATATATACATATGTGAGGATTCAATAAGAATTGACTAGTTTTACGTTGACTGTCAGTATAGAAGTTGGTTATAATAATGCACAATAATATATTTGATAATGTATGCATTTGCAAGTTCATTACAAATGTAAGGACTAAACATGAATTGACTAGTTTTACGCTAATTGTCAACATACAAGTTTGTTACACTAATGCATAATAATAACATGTTTGATGTTTGTCATGAATTGACTAGTTTTATGTTGACTGTTAGCATACAAGTTCGTTACCATAATGCATAATAATATATTTGATATGTGCATTTGCAAGTAAGGATTCAACATGAATTGACTAGTTTTATGTTAGCTGTCAACCAACAAGTTCGTTACAATAATGCATGATAACACATTTGAAATTGTAAAATATGGAAATCATATGATACATGTACCTTGAATTTTTCGGATTCGTTTCTGCATTACTTGTGCACAAGCTTCACAATGCATCTGAACTGTCATCTTCACTGTTATGACCGGAGGAGGCTGTCCATTATGTGAAAAACATATGACATTTTTCGCGTAATGCACGTACTCAGTGACTAGTTATATCATGAAATATAGAGAAAATATAGACAAATTGACAAAGACAGAGTAACTATAATTTGCTATTCTAAAGTAAAATGCAAATCAATGTCACAACAAAAAATATTATGTCTCAATCCCAAATAAGTTAAGGGTCGGCACAAAGGTGGAGCCATTACATTGCGTCTCTGTTGAAAATGAATCCTGTTAGGGGTCTGCTATATGAATCTTGACTGACTATGTTGAAAAACTCGACCCCTAATCCCCTTAGAACAACATTGTCCCACTCAGAGACGAATTCAAAATTTTAAATTTATAAGCGTAATGCCAACTCTTCCCCCTTAAAGCCACTAAGGTCAAGATCTTTTTTGTTAGTTATAACTTAAAAGTTGATCATATAATATATCATCATTTTCTAAGCATGTTTGCTTCATTTAACCTCATCTCAAGCCGATAAGATATGATATATTACATTAGCACAACAAAAATATGATAACGCAATATATTTATGAAACAAGACATAACAACCATCCAAACAAGATGTAAGTTGTTGTATTGGGATTGTTATTTTATAATATTGTACATAACTATATGTTATATTCAGAATACTGCAAAATATTGAAATGTCAGTCTCGAGAATCCCTTATAGGCCCCATTTCAAGATTTTACTATACTGCAGTATGGCAGAGTAGCCCACCTACACTTCATTCAAACAATTTTTGAATTGACAAAAAATAATTTAAATTTTACAATTTTTTTATCTTATTTGTAATAATAAATTTTTATAGACACACAAATATTACGTATACTGTAAGTTCATTACATACGTCTTCAAAGTATGATATGTTAAAGATATAGAAGGATCGAGAGTTAGAACTTAGAAGGGTGTAAGAATGTCCAAACCTCCTTAACGAAAAAACACAATGTAAATAAATTTAAACTTTTTTTTATTTTACATATATATAATAGATGATAAAATTTTCGAGTCTCTGTCCACTCTATCTACACCACACATTGTTTAGTGTGCCCTTCAACACCCCTCTCCCCCACTTTACCCCCCAAGTGGATTGCTCAGAGAGTTGTCTTTTTTGCTAAACTTTTTACTGTAAAAACTAATATGTTATGTTGCTTTCATTGTCAGCAAGGATACAACAGCCATAGACTGTGGTTGCTCTATTAATTCCCTTAACACTAAAAGGAAAAAATACTACACCACATACTCGTTTGAATTATTTAAAAAATGTATAATATTTGTATCGAATTCTTCAAAAATATAATCAAATATTAATTATTTAGTATCTTACCCTAGGAAGGGTTCATCTAGTACCGGACCGATAATTTAGACAACATGCCTCAAGTTTTTTTTCCCAAGTGTGGAAACACTAGAATCAGAAATAGTAGGATTGATTCGAAGTAGTAAGGTTGAAAATAAAATAAATATATTTAATGTTGTCATATTAAAAAAAAAAAGTATTTGTGGAGGACTCGACACACACTTATCGACATTGTTTAAGTATGCAATGACTAGTGATTAATTAGGGTAGCTTGATGCATGAAGTACATACACACAAAATTCAGAGAAAAAACATACCTCAAACTTGTATAATGTAGTCAGTTTATCCTGACGCAAGCATCTATCAATAGCTAATTTCATGACTCAGACTCAAAATATATTACATCACACGAAAATAACTTTACCGACTAATTAAACAATAATAATATTTACCTCATCTTTCTTCTCTTCTACTTTTGGCAACTCCTCTTTCTTTTCTTCTTCTTTTTTATTTTCTTCTGGTGGTTTTGGCAAAGGTGAAATCAATTCCACTTTTCTACCACTTTTCTTTTGAATTCTTTCACACACTTTGAGAGGATCTGCATTTTTCCCTTTTATCACCACTTTGCTAGCCTTAGAATCTGCCTTTACTTCCTCCACTCCTATTCATTTACCACAAAAAAAAAAAAAAAAAAATTATACTCAAAAGTCTTTTTTTTTTTGTTTTTTTACCATATGATACAAAAAGAAAAGATATTATAATGTTATAATAAATTAAAGTTGAATGTGTCTTGTTCAATTCGAACTTCTGGAAGCAGTCACTAATGATTATAATAGAATAGATGATATGAATCATACTCTCTCCGTTTTAAAAAAAGTGACATGGTTTGACTTAGCACGAAATTTAAGAAATTAAAAAAGACTTTTGAATCTTATGGTCCTAAATTAAAGTTATGTCAGATATACAAAACTGTCTTTAATCTTGTGGTCTTAAACATGCCACGTGGAAAGCTAAAAGTAAAATGTTACCAAAAAAAAAAAAGAGGTCATTCTTTTTTAAACAAACTAAAAAGAAAAGGAGGTCATATTTTTTGAAACAAAGGGAGTATATTTTTTGTGGCGCGGCCTTCTATGAATTTTGTCAACGCAAAATATTCTGTGTACTCCTTCTGTTCTATATTAGTTGATTATTATTCTTTTTACAGGCATATTAAGAAGTTATATATAAAGAAGAAGATAATTTTACTAATTCACCCTTTAAAAATTTCTTGGAAAATTTATAAATAAATATGAACACTTTTAAAAAGAATTAATTGTAAGATGTAATATAGAAAAAAATAATCAATACTTTCTTGATTTTTAATAAGATAGACAACTAAAATATGACAATTATTTTTATTTTTAGCAGAATGATCAACTAATATGAGATGGAGAGAGTATCGTCCCAGCCTTTTTTTGTGTTTTGTTTTATATGTTAAGCTTTGTTTATTGGGTGCATTGTTCAAGAATTTACTAATGAATAGTTGAGTTGAAAAACGTGATAATGAGATAGGAGACCATTAGAATAAATTAATGAAGTCTCAATATTTAGTGTATTCTTTAATCGGAAAGAATAATTTAAATTATTTTTAAAAAAAATTAACTTATATTCATTAATAATGTTGTTAAATTTTATATTATCACAAAAAAGGGGTCAAATTTGACATTATATATGCTATTCGAAATTGAGCAGCGTACTCTTTCGTTGTTATTTCGATTTAAAGATAATTTTTAAATCATG